TGGGATAGTGCAGGTCCTTCAAGGGTCTTGGGCTTTTCATCGTGATATCTCCAACTCCAAGCGATGGCCCTGCCATCAAGCAAAGACTCCTAAACTCAAGCCATGGCAGCATAAAGTTCCCCCCATCGTAAGCCAACCCCTAAGCCCCAAATCGCTAATCCCTAAACCCTCAAAAAACTCGAACCCCCAAATCCCTAAACCCGAAGTTGCTGATCCCTAAGCCCTTATAATTACTCTAACCCCCAAATCCCAAATCCCTAAACCCTACCTTAACCCTGAAGGACCTACCTTTTTAAGGACTTATATAAGGAAATCATAATAGGGAGCCCTAACAAAGGTAGGATATTCAGGGTTAAGGTAAACCCTAACCATCGACCCGCAAACCACCCCTAAACCCTCAGGCCACAGTCGAGCAACCTGCAGTCTACGAATCGCCCCAAGCCCTTTCTGAGTCTACTGTTGATGATATAAATCCTGCATGACCCATAATAAGGAATATACCATAATTGCCATCTATTCCTTATTATGGGCCATGCAGGATTTATATCATCAACAGTAGGAATTGTCTTTCTGCACCTGGGGCCCCGAAAATATTCCGTTTTGAGGGTCATATCGGTAATGTGCGAAAATCAGAAGGGTTCAAGTATGCTATAATCAGAAGCGTTCATAACCTAGTATTTGTGTAGGGTTTGTTGATGCAGGCACAGCTCCGAGAACTGCAAGGGTTTCCGATAAGCTGAATTGGCGATTTGCAGTGCAAGACGATCAGAAAGGATCCAACATCTCGGAGCGCCTCCCGGAAATATTACCAAGAGGGTTCCTTTAAGTATAATTTAAGCATACTAGAATGTACCCCAACACCCTATTCAAACTGCAATGTACCCCAACACCTTATTCAAACGCGTATAAAACCCTATAGTAACAAAACTCAGGGCACACTGATCAAAAGACCCCTACCTAAACAGTTTGTGTCGATGGTCGCGAGGAGCCTTTTATGTCGCCCCTCGAACAGCGGTACCATGCTTTAAGCCCCGAGGAAACAACCCATGTAGCTAGACATATATATATATATATAAATAAATAAATATATATATATATATATATATATATATATATATATTCATGTTTTTTATATGGATGTAGTGTATACGTATATATATATATATATATATATATATACAGACCTACGCATCTATGCAATCTTTGGAAACGAAAAGCCAAAAGCCTCCGTGACTCCTGAACCTGAGAAGCCGACTCGACACAGTGAGCACTAAAGCCCCAAGCCCGAAACTCTAAACTCGCAGGGGGTGCCCAGAATTTCGGGAGGATCCAAAGAGTCGATCCCTTAATGGGGGCTCCTATAAAGTATCCTTAGTTAGGGCCCCAAATTATGGGATCTACTTTCTAGATCCTCCCGCGTGTCTGGGAATCTACTTAACCCCTAAACCTAAACCGTAAAACCCTAAACCCTAAACCCTAAAGCCCAAAGCCTGAAGCCTGAAAGCGCAAAGCAAAGGCAGAGAGCTGGCGTCACTGTGATCGGCAATGGCCCGGGCAGCAAGGCTTCTACTGGGTTTTTCGTTTAGGGACCCAAAAAGCACATAAGCATAAGCATTGTATGGGGATATCCCTACCTTACTGGGCTTCATTATAAAGGGATTTATATGGGATATCCCTATCCTAATTTTTGCTTATGTGCCTTTTTGGGGCCCTATTTTCGTGGCCCTAAACCCGAAATGCTGCACCTCAAACCCTAACCCTCAATCCACAACTCACGAAAATCCTAAACCTACCGAGTCCGAGCCCTCTAAACCCAAAACCCCTAAACCCTAAACCCCTAAACCCCTAAACTCTAAACCCTCTAAACTTGACTCATAGCTGACCCCGGGGGAGGTCCGAGCTGCAGACGGTAGCCTCTCTGTGGTCACCCGATCCATGGGTGATGTAGCGCGGAGCTAAGCTTCTCAGCGGTTTAGGTTTCAGGGTTTAGGGTTTAGGGATTATCAGCTGTATAATGTATAATGTAGGGGCCGTCATATTTGACATAGGTTTTGGGGGCTCCTTATTATAACTTTATATAATAGTGTAGTATACTCCAAAAGCCTAGTCTAATTGTTAAAGGCCTTATACTAGCAGCTGCGTACTAGGTCCCCGGTAGTACCCAAAGCCCCAAAGCCCAATTAGTCGGCGTGAGCGGTGATCCTTCATCCCCAAAAGGTCCTATGTACCTATGTAGTAGAACGTAGGGTTTCTATGTTAGGAACTTTACTGTGATGGTTTAGGGAAGTATCCCCTGTAACAGTACATAGGACTCGTTGGGATCTAGAGTAGCTTGCACAAAATATGGAAATGGGAGGTACAGGTCACGCAAAAAGTTTTGCTGAGCCCCAAATGCTGCAAAAACCCTTCAGTCCTCGAATGCTTTAGGGTAAAGGGTTTAGGGTAGAATGTAGAACACTTTTGAGCTGATTATCTTAAGGTTTAATTCTGAAACCCATACAACAACATCACGCTTATCAACAAAAGCTGCTGCATTTTAAGGCTTATCAAAGGGGAAAAGGAGGGACCCTGAATGGGGACACTTGCCCCATAATGGACCATTTCATTGGCATATAATAACCCTTGGAGTTTAGCTAAATCCCAGAGCTTTAACACGAGACCTCGCTTCTTGTGGGCCAAGGCTTGGAAAAAGACATCCAGCGGGGTGCCGGCACCGATCCCCAGAATGCTGGGCCACTAGGGTCTAGGGTTTATAGGAGCTTCTTCAATGCTTCAAGATGGTTCAGGGTTCAGGTTTGGGCTTAAAGCAGCGGCTCCAATAATTGGACAAAAGGGTTGGGATATGTTAGGGTTTTGATGTTGGTTTCCAGGGTGTGCTAATGCTTGCGGTCTGGAGTATTAGCACTCCATGGCTTGAATTACGATTTCAGGTGTGACGCGTTCAGTTGGGTCCTTACGCCGGGCCCGCATACTTGGCAAGTCTTGGTAGATGTTGAGACTCTAGCACTGCAGCCGTTGTCTTCAACACCCCAGCTACACCCTGCGCAAAGGGTTGTACCCTACCCTATTTTAGGTAATTGTAGTCTGGCTATCACAGGTAGACCGTAGACCCCAATCCTACCCCTGCCCCCCTCCCTATCGCGCCTCAAAGGAAAACAAAGCACCCTCGGCACTAAACCCTAAACCCCAAACCCTCAACGTTCAGCCCTAATCCCTGACATCCTGAATTCTAATTCCGTAAAACCTAAAACTCCAAGTACTAAAATAAACTCTAAATGCAACCCTAAAGCCCTTTAATTATACTGTAACCTCACATTACACCCTATACCCTAAACCCAAACCCTCAAGAGTGCCCTCCAAGGTCCTCAGCTGCATCCCCGAGATTCAGTCGACGAAGCTGTCGTGGGCAGATAAGTCCCATGGCAGAATCGGGGGAATTCAGCGGCTTTTTGGGGTTAAGGGTTTTAGGGTTTTATATAGGGCTTTAGGGTTAAGGGTTTTAGGGTTTTATGTAGGGTTAAGGGTTAAGGGTTTTAGGGCTGTATATTTGGTTTAGGGTCTTAGCGTTTAGGGTTTAGGGTTTTTCATAGGGTTCCTTTGAAGGATCCTATTTTAGGGGTTCTTTTAAAGGGGTCGTATAAGGTATACAAGGAACCCTTAAAGGGGTCCTCTCAGGGTCCTTTGAGCGTTCCTTTGCGGAAGGGCTCTTTAAATGGTTCTTCTAAGGCTCCGTAAACCCAAACCCAGAAACCGTCGGTCCATGGAGAGCGAAACGCAACGAGTTCTGGAGCTTAGGGTTTATACTTCCGCGATTAAAGAGAGGCTCAGGGAAGGCGGTATCCTGACTGTAAGGGTTACTACAGGAGGCTCTCGTTCTTGAAGCTCTGGGAGTTGAGGCTTGAAATCTGAAAGGGATCCTTTAAGGGTTCCTCAAAGGGATTATAAGGGTTGTTGGGTTTAGAGTTTCCGAAACTTAAGGGTACCTTAAATTGGTATCCTTGTGATAAGGATCTATAGCGGGCCAGATGTAGCAGAGCGATAAGGTAAAAGAGACGAAAAGACACGAAAAGGGGAGCCCGAATAAGTAGCCAGGCCCTGAGCATTTGCCATGGAGCCACTCTGCCATTCCATCTTTGGGTTTGCGTGGCTAGGTTTCGAGGCCCCAGCCCTACCTCAGGATTTTTTGGTTCATGAACCCCAAGAGAATAGTACAAATGCTATATTTTGTATGGTTCTAAGGTCTAGTAAGTCTAGTATAGATCCGACCTCCGCAACCTGTTCCCAGGCAAAAGTTTTTCCTCCTTAACAGCAAGCCGGTCGCAGAGGCGGGCTGAGATGCGACCCCTAAGAAAGACTCTACCTAGACCCCCAAAATATCTAGAATAACGGCCTTTCATAGGTGTTGGGCGGGTAGTTGACTCACTTTTGGGGGGTTCAGGTAAGGATCCACCTATTGCTTCTCAGTCTCAGGGCCATGCTACAACCATCGTAAGATCCCAAACACCAAACCGTAAGTCAAACCCTAAACCATTACACATTCCACTCCGCAACCCTATGTTAAGCCAGAAGAACTTTGGCAGGTGTCGCTTTGCAAGTGCTACAGCTTTGCGCAGACTTGGTTTCGGTTGTATGGAATCTAGAGTACAGCGGCCTTAATCGTGAGCCCGCGCAATCAGTGAACACTTTCAGGAGTCCCTAAGGCTCCATGTACCCATATAGTATATACTTAGGCCTGAAAGTAGGGTTTCGGATCGAGCTCTGTAGTGAGCATTGCTGTTACCCCAGTGCTTCGGCACGCAGAGAGCCATAGCTCCACGGCACGAGGGATCGGATCTCCCTCCTGGCACCGCCGCCTTCGCTTGCAACGTGCAAGAGCCCGTAGCAGGATCGCTTCGGCCCGGAAGCAAGGCACTGCCCCTCCAAGGGCGGATCTCCTGAGACTCTGCCTGCACCACAGCAGGCCTGCTTACCGCGAAGTTCCAGCTCTTTGGACCTGTTCAATGGGCAAGCGAGGCCAATGGTCAGCCGAAGAATGGGATGCATGGCGCTCCTCGCATGGTCAGCCATCTGGTGGATGGCATCGACAGAAGGGCAAGGCCAAAGAGGGCAAAGGCGACAACCCCCGCAAGGGAGCCGACACCCACCGAGACCGACGGCAAAACACCTTCCCTTCCTTCGAGACTATGGAGGCGGGGAGCAGCAGCACAAGATCGACTACCAAACCCAAGGACTCCATGGAGATCGACGACGAGGCACCTTCCAACGGCCAGGTCACCCGTGGAGTCCAAAAAGTACTCAACAGTCTGAGGAAGGCGGAAGGCAAGGCCCGCCGCTTGGCCGAAGACAAGGCGGAGACCCAGAAGAAATGGGCAGCATGGCGCGAGGAGCTTCAGCAAAGCTTCCTCAAAGAGAAGAAGCGATACCAGGACCGCATCGACAAGATCACCCAGGAGCTTATGGAAGCCGAACAGGCGCAAGAAGATGCTCTTGGCGAACTTCAGATGGCCCTCCTCGAGCCCCAGGCCCTGCACCGGAGCAAGGCCACGACCCCCGAGGACCCGGCGGCGCTGGCAGAATTCGAAGAGCTTCTTCAGTCGCCGGAAAAGCGGCCGAACCAAGGCATCGCCGACTTGATCACGGGTGCCTTTGCTGGAGGACGCATGGACAAGGCCGAGCGACGTCAAATGCTGCTGGAGGCCATAATGGAGCACAAGGCAGCCCGCCGCCAGAAGACACCACCAGCTCGCAGGCGCCGATCCCCGAGTCCGACTACTCCGCCAGGCGACAAGCCGAACCCTCCGACTACCCGGCACCAAACCGGTACGGAGGACACCTACAGCGGCAATCCGGAGGATGCGGCCAAGCCGGCGCCATTCCCAGCTTCACCCTCGACTATGACGACCAGGCCCGTGCCGGATGGAACAGCAAGAATCAAGTCGAGATCTTCTGCCCGCATACCTGTCAAACAGGTTGGCAGAACACCGTCACGCCCCAAGTCGGGAGCCTCTCTGGCGGAAAAGCTGGAAGCCCGCAGGGGGATTGTCGATGCGGGAGCGATCGTGGAATCCGACGAGGAGATCCCGATAGCCGACTTGACGGGGGCGAACACACTCGATGCGGTGGAGTGATCACAGCTGCTAGGAGGTATCTCGTGACGAGTGACCTCCCGCCTGCAAGCCACACAGGAATTATGGAAGCCCCCAATCCCTATGAACAGTTTTGCCCTGGACAGGGCCAGCCTTCCTCCCTTCGCTACGGCTTTTTCGGTCTGTCCGGGCGCAGGGAAGGCGACAACACTGTGCTACATCCTGATGGTGTTCGTGGGCTTCACGAGACCACTGGGTTGGAGTATCCTTTGTTCGGGCACGGCCCTTCGGGAGGCCACGACCCTGGAGATACAAGGAGCAGGATCAACTACGATATCCTTGACCTCTTCGCCGACGCTATCGACTACTTGGGTGTTGGCCTGATACAGTTCGGAGAGGAATGGAGAGCCAGCGGTTCGGGCTTCTGCTGCTCCCTCATCCTGATCCAGTTCGGAGCATTGCTTTCAATGCTCAAGGTGCGACCTTGTGGTTGCTCTGGCGGCCCGTACCGCCCCACCAGGAATCCTTTTCTTATGGCGGCACGTGTCCTCCTGATATTCGGTTTGCTTTCGCCCTCTATGGCAGCAACCACAGACGATGGACCGCCGCGACCTCCCAGGAACGGTGGCCACAACAGCCTGGGCTTCCCAGCGATACCAAGGCAAACCGACCTCGAGCTATGGGCTTCAGGGCAACTCACAGCACGTGAACAGATGCTCAATGCCTATGATGCCTATGTTGCTGGATTACCCCTGGCCCACTTTGAAGGAGAGATGGCGCCGCCCAATATCACTGTCGCTGCTGTTGCCGAACCAGGTGACCACACCACTCCTGCCTGGGACGAACGGCGTGCCGTACATGTCACTGTCTGGGTGGCAGCTCCCCACTTTGCCACGGAGGTCGTGGACCTTGGGATTGCCTTCCCACTGAGTGAACAACGGCTTTGTGATGCAGTCAAGGGAACTTGTGTCAACATGCCCGACTACTTCGAGACGATCCTCCCTACGGTTCCGCAGATCGGCTCGCACTATGGAAGTTGCCTTGCTGTGCCTTCCTGGCTTCCTGGAGCAGGCAAAACAGCACTGGTGATGGACAGCCGGGGTATTGGGGGAGAGATCTTCCCGTTCATCCTCGACGGCCCGCTCACCAAGCGGGCCCTCACCAAACAGTTGCCGGACGAGGCTGACCCAGTGGACCTTTACCTCTTTGGCAATGCAATGCCTATGGCTGGTGAAGGCGAGTACCAAACAGTGCAAGGAGGCGTCATCAAGGCCTTCTATGAGGGAAGCCATTGTACCTGGGAAGGCCATCTCAGTGAACGACTGGAGGACCCCTCGCATTGGAACCCTATGCTGAACCCCCCGGGCACCAACGATGCACCACACGTCGTCTACCAGAGCCCTGAGGACCAGCTCGTCTACTACGACATACCGGGTGCGGAGGAAAACAGATTGGAGCTAGCCGAGAGCCTGCTGGGGTATGCGTCAGGACAATGCTGGATTTGCGAGCCAACCCATCCAGCAGAGGACCTGACACATGCAGGGCGACGGGTTCAGAAACAGATCGCGGTCATGCCAGGCCCGCGATCCACCCATGAGGACGACCCGGACGCTACGGTCATCTTTGTCGACCTTCGTGGCCTTGGGCTTTTCCCTCAATGGTTGTTGCTCCCAGGACAGCTCTTTAACTCCGCAGAGTACCTAGAGGGCATCCAGGCCCCGATTGTTGATGGGTGGACGGTTGTTGTCGAGGGAGGTGAGCTCACCAACAACCCCGAACTCCTCATGGTCAACCATTGTGAGACCCTCAACTTCTTCCTCAAGGAAACGGGCGAGCTCACACCGATGAGGATCAAGACGAGGGCGATGACAGCAGCAGCCCGAGAGATGTTCTTCCGAACTCCTCAGACCTTTCGGAGGGCACACCGCCAACGGGACCAGGGCCATTCGGGCCACCAAGGCCCACGCCGGTCAATGACCGAAGCCGGTCCCCAAGGAGAAGAACGGTTCACATTGCTGAAGCAGTACCACCTCCAAGCTTCGACCTCACTCGTGAGGCCTTGCCACTGCCAGAAAACGAGCAGCAGATTCGGGCTCTCCTCGGAGTCTGGCCGCCCGATTGGATGGCTTTCGATGTGAAGACCCTCTCACTCCAGTCGGCCACTACCGAGGCCCTCGATACATTGCTTCATTGGAGCCAACTCGTGCGACAGCCGTCTCGCCCCCGAGTACACATCTACACGGATGGATCTTACAAGGCTTCATCTCGCACGAGCGGGGCCGGCATTGTGATCCTCCTTGAGCTCGGCACCATGTTGGCTCTGTACGGCATTGTTGGGGAGCCCATCTTGGGCTCTGACACTCAGGTATGGGGCGATTCCCATGCCCCCGCCCTCCACGCAGAACAGGTGGCTATCGCGATTGCCCTATTATGGGCTGGGCAGAGCCTCCACTTTCTTCGACCCAGCGGCTACACCATCCACTTCGACTGCCAAGCTGCGGGCTGGGCCACGGATGGCACATTTGCATGCTGCAATGAGCTGGCGGTGCAAAGCCGCAACCTGGAAATGTACCTACAGGAGGTAACCCACCACGGCCTTCAGTTTGAGTATGTCCAGGCCCACTGCTCCCATGCTTGGAACGAACTCGCTGACTCGGTTGCCAAAGCGGCGGCCGCCCAGCACACCGACCTCCCATGCCCACCGCCTGAAGTACCTAGTCTCTTCCTGCGCATGGACCTGAGTTGGATGGCGGCGATTCTACACGGATGCAGGCACCAAGCACTACCCATCGTTGGCCACAATCTGGTGTGGGACCCAACCATACCATCTGGTCCCAGCCCTCTGCAGCCCCAGGACCTCATCCCGACACACTCTGACCGGGTTGGGCAGCCAGATGGGCCGTCTCTCTTCTCGACCAGGATCGCGACGGTCAACGTGCAAGGACTTGGGGGCAAGCGTCGCTACCTGTCTGATCAGTTCCAGGAGCACCACCTTCAGATCATATTCCTGCAGGAGACCAAGGACTCCGAGGGCGTATGCAAGACGGCGGACTATCTGAGAATCCAGACAGCCTCCGATTCGCATTGGGGGGTTGGTATCTGGCTCAACGCTGTCCGCGGTTTCTGCACGATCGATGGGGCCCCGCTCATCGCTGCTGAAGAGGACATCCAGATTGTCTGCCACTCCCCGAAATTGCTGCTTCTTGTGGTCCGAAAATTGCAACGCCGCTTCATCCTGTTCGCTGGTCACTGCCCCCATAGTGGGCGACCCACGGAGAGGGAAAGCTTCCTCGACGAACTTGCATCGCGGCTCCGAGCAGTCGGTCCCGCGGCCCTGTTGCTCGGAGGGTTGGACTTGAACGGCAAGCTCCCTCCGAACCTACCAGATGTCACTGGCAACCTCCAACATGGCGACCCCGACACAGCGGGTCAACAGCTTGGAGGGCTTCTCTCTGAAATCGGGGCTTGGATCCCGGCGACGTACGAGGAGCTCCACGTGGGACCTACGACCACGTATGTCCACCCATGCGGAACCGAGTCCCGCATCGACTACTGCATCCTGGGAGGCACTCTTCGTACTACTCGAGTATGCAGCTGGTCAGACGGGGAGATTGACACGGGCAACAAGCAGGAGGACCATCGACCCGCATGTGTGGCTATATTGAAGGCACCTTCGCTCGTGCCAGTGACCTCCCTCAACTACGACGGCCACGTTTTGACCGACAGAAACTACAGACACCTGCCGGCAAGGTTCTCTTTGCAAAGGCAATGCGGGCATATGTCCCCCCAACCTGGAACACCCATGTGGACACCCATTGCCAGCACTTCCAGGACTACATCCTTGCTGTCCTCACCACTTTTTCCAGCCCCAGTCCACGGAAGACGGGCGACCTACATTCCAGACCATGTCTGGCAATGGCGAGATACGAAGATCCGTCTCAAGAAACGAACTGCCCATAGACGTGGCCTATGGAAGAACCTACTTGCACGGGCGTTTCGGAAGTGGGCTACCGGAGCTCCGGGCAATCTCGAGGAGGAAATTGCCACGCAGGGACTCTTCTACGAACTCTCCGCCACTGCGATTGGATATGTGACCGCCAACATCAAACGGGGAATCTACCAGGCCAAGGATGGCTTCCTCAAAGAGTTGATTGCAGATGGGGTTCGCAGCACAACCGACCTCCTTCGCAAAATGAAATTGCATGGGGTAGGCGGTCGAAAAGCCAGGGCCCACACGCGCCCCCTCCCCATCCTGCTGGACGCTACCGGTGAGGCTGTCACATGTCGTGCTGACCGAGATGACCTCTGGCTACGACACTTCAGTGCACAAGAGATCGGTACTGTTCTCAGTGTCACAGATTTTCTCAGTGCTGAGACTGCCAAATGTGCCGGGGTTGAGGAGATAGAATGGTCCTTTGCAAACATGCCTACCCCGGTCCAGCTGGAGCAGCTACTGAGAATGGCCCCGAAGGGCAAATCCCCATGCATTGACGGCATTCCCGGAGAGGCCCTCAGGGCGGCCCCCAGTGCCCTGGGTCGCGCAATGTACCCGCTGATCGCCAAGAGTGTTCTCACGGTCCAACAACCCATCCAATGGCGAGGAGGCATATTGTATGCTGCCTACAAGGGCAAGGGCCTCGCCTCCGACCCCGAGAACCACCGCTCACTCTATGTGAGCAGCCTCCTCGGCAAGACCTACCACCGACTACTTCGTGACCAAGCCCACGGAGCCCTTCAGGACACCCTGCACGGACTACATTTGAGGAGTAAGCGGCAGGCCCCCATCCAGTTCGCCTCGCTCTACTTGCTGAGTCTTTTTCGAGCTGGAGTCCGAGGGAAACGCTCCATAGGAGCGCTGTTCCTAGACAGCAGGGCTGCTTACTACAGAGTTGCCCGAGAGGTGGCCATGGGGCCCATCTGCGATGACAACTCGGTGGCCCGGGTCTTCAAGCATTTCGACTTAGACGGGGAGGATATCCACGAATTATACCATCTGATCCGAGCTGGGGGCTTAATGACTGAAGCTGGGGCTCCTTCGATGACCACGGCAGCTGTACGAGACCTCCACCATCGGACGCGGGCCATCAGTGCCTACTCCATTGGAGAGGCCCTCGCCTCCTCCCAAGCTGGAAGCCGCCCTGGCGAGTCCTTCGCCGACGCTATCTTCTCCTTTGTGTACGCAAGAGTCTTGGGCCAAATCACCGAAATCCTTGATGGTGAAGGGGTGCTGTGGTATATGAAGTACGACTCTGCTGTGGGAGCCTTCGGTGGCAACGATGAGGGCACCCCCCACTTGATCAGGGACGCAACTTGGGCCGATGACAGCTCTTTCCCTTTTGAGGACGACTGTCCATGGCGATTTGTCAGAAAGGCTCAGGGAATCAGTGCTGTGGTCATTTCAAAATGCCAGTCCTTCGGGATGGACCCCAACTTGGCCCCGGGGAAGACGGCACTGGTGCTCTCTCTTCGCGGCAAGGGCTCCCAGGCGACCAGACGTCATTTCTTTGCCGAGGCCCAGTACACCCACCTGGGCGGGGTACTGGACATGAACGCGAATGGCAAGGCGGAATCCAGCTTGGCTTTAGCCCAAAGCTCGTACGACAGTGGACGACGCCTGGTGTACCAGAACAAGATGCTCCCGCTCTCCACGAGAGCCAAGCTCTTCGAGGTCTCGGTTTTACCCAGCATCTTCAATTTGTCGCAGTGGGTGCCTCGCGGGGAGGCCTGGACAAGGCTAGCTCTGGGGTACACAAGGATTGTGCGCAACCTCCTCATTCCCCATGTCCCGGACGACAGGCTTTTCCACGTGCCCTCCACCCTGATCTACAAAGCTACAGGATGCTGGCGCCTGGAGCTACATGCCAGAAAGGCACGCTTAAGTCTCCTGGTCTCGCTGATCATTGCAGGCCCTGAGGTCCTCTGGGGTGTGCTACAGACAGAGCGGGAGTGGCTTTACACGGTCCGAGATGATCTATGCCAGCTTCGGGCCGACCAGCCACACTGGCCGCCAATCCAAGATGTGAGCTGGCCGCAATGGTGGCACCAGATCCGCGAGAGCCCTTCTCGCTTCAAGCTGGGGGTCAAGAAAATGCTGCGCCGGCAGCACGAGAAGATGATGGGCATGGAAATCCAGTGTCTCGCCCTCTGGAGCCTATCCCGACAGGCCACCCTTCCAGGCACGACCCAAGGGCGCCAGGAAGACCGGTGGACCTGCCGCCACTGTCAATGTGGGTTCAAGAAGAAAGCCAACCTGTCGGTTCACTTCTTCAAGACACATGGCCGTGTTGCCCGACACCGGCAATGTGTCGTCGGAACGTACTGCGTTGCCTGTGGTGGACAGTACAGATCGCAGGCCCGGCTCCAGGCCCACTTGGCTAGCTCGCCGAACTGTGTCGATTATCTGATCCGTCTTGGTCGTACTACTTCGACCCCGTTGCCAGGGCGAGGAAGCAACCAATGGCGAAAGACATCAGCGACTCAGTTCACTTGGCAACCGGTCTCTTACGATGGTGAGATCGCGGACCCCGTCTACCTTGCCGACCGTGAACTACCGTGGGATGAGACACCCCTCAAGGCCTACAAACGGCTTTGCGAGGCCCTCTCGGAGGGCGATCAGGGACGGACTGTCCGACAGTTACGTGAAGAGATCCGAACTGTGCTCGCACAGCACCCCCTCTACCGTGAGGAGGAGGAGTTGATCGTTGAGCACACCGCCAAGGAGATCGCGATGCTCCAGGCTGACGAACTGTTCCGCGGGGACTACCACAATATTGAGGTGGTGCTCCGCGATCGAGACAGCCTCCTCCATTTCACCCCGAGGCTACATTCAGTCCCAGACCACGGACTCGAGACTTTCAGAGAATTTGACCGTCATGCGGACGCGTTCGACTGGACAGCATTAGTCCACGATTGTCAACGACGGTGCGGGACCCTCGAACAGGTGCATGTGATGCTCGATGCAGGGTGGGAAGCTGAAGATCCTGTTTTGAGCTGTACCTGGGAAACTTCAGCCGCGCTAGTCCGGCCAATCCTGTTAGTCCCGAGCCAGGTCAGGAAGGCGTGGACCCAAGTCCTTGAAGCAGGAACCGCGGTCGTAAGCGCCCCTGAATCCTTTTGGTCCAGCCGACTATCGGCGCCGTTTAGAGCGCTGAGGGCCTCTTTGCAGTCTTAATTAGTTCGCAGCGACGACCCCTGATAGCACGGAAAAAAGGCCTTAAAGTACCTATATAGGGACTACTTTGGGGCTTAAGTATCTACTATAAAGGTACATGGAGCCTTTGGGAGTGGTATGATGGGCCTTAGCCTCGATCTCTATGATCGCTATCACAACCTTCTCGACGACTCGACGGGTAGGGTTTAGGGTTTAGGGTCTGGGGTTTAGAGTTTGGGATTACATGATGAGTTTCTGGAACAAGCACCGAAGCAGAGTGTTGATCACGAAGTCGAACAAGAAAGGGGAACAGCCCTTCCACTCCCCAACGTACGGGACTTCCTAAAGAAGTACGGATGCCTAGGGTCCCGTATTCTGAGACTCCAGTACTTATCGACAGATTCAGGTTTCAGAGAGGAGAAAGGGTTTAGTAAGGGTCTGGGGTTTGGGGTCTAGTAGAGCTTCCACGTTTAGGATTTCAGGGTGTCGTGCTGAAGTTTCGTCCGATTCGTGATGCATGGTTTTGGGCTTGATTGTTGATGAGGGCCCACGGGGGGTTGGAAGTGGGGAGTACTTTGACCTACCAAAACCCACTTCTTCCGTATGTTCTCACTATGAATATATTGCGACCCTACAGAAAGGTAGGTTTGGTGGGTTAAGGTATACCTTGGGCCCTCAATGTTGCTGAGATGCCCTCACAAAGCACGCCAAACACCTCACAAAGCGACACCCCTCCATATAGCAACCTTACAAAAACCACAAAGAGCCCCCTGCGAAGCTCCAAGCCCTGAGCCCTGCAGTGGCTACTAGAATCCTTAAAATATCCCTTGTATACGAGAGGAACCCTTCAAGGAACTTCATTAAACAAAACAAACTCAAACAACCAATGCTAGTCTAAATATTTACAACCTTAAACCCTGTTTTACCCACCGTGGCCAATCAGGTTATGACCGAAGACGAGCTGGTCGAAGCATATCTTACATTGCCGGGTTTGGTTTTGGAGTTTGGGGGTTTTCGGGAGCTTACATATAAGGGATTTAGGGGGTGAAGTCGGGGGGTGTTGGTGGGTGTAGGGTTTGGGTCTTTTTGTTGAGTTCAGGATTTCAGTGGTTTGTATTTACCGAGTTTAGGCTTTTAGGGTCTGGGTTCAGGGTTTAGGGCAGGGGCTTGCAGGGAGTGTGGTCTTTTCTTTGGGGGGGATGCGAAACCATGCAGGTTTCAAGTGCTATTGAGGGATTAGAATCGAAAAAAATGTGCTGAGGTGTTATTCAGGGTTCAGGATCCAAGGGTTTAGGGACATATATGGGTAGTTGTCAAAATTAGGGTCCCTTTTTGGGTCCTTATTATAATACGGCACCTAATATTTAGGGTACCCAAAAGGGACCACAATTTTGACAACCACCCATATCATATAGGGTACGGGAAGACTCTATAAGGAGGTAAAGGGGGTCGATCTGATTGTAAAACGACCCTCTGCCACAATGGAACAATTACCCATAACTGGCTGGCTAGTCAATGCAGACCGTGTTGAAGTCAAGACGTCGCTGAACAGTAAAGCTTACCCTCCCAACCCTCGACTAGGATGCCCAGCAGAACCCTTATTCCTTTTGGTTTAGGTCCTAGCTTCCTTATAAAGTTACGCAAGACCAAAAGGAAGCCCCTTTTCATTCCTATGTTACTGGGCATCCTAGTCAAAGCCCACCTGGACCCTACGGAACCTACCTTTTTAGGGTTCCCTAATATGATTTCTTTATACAAGTCCTTAAACAGGTAGGTTACCTGGGGTTAAGGCACACCCTTAAGCCCTGTGTGTTGGAAGTTCCAGGGTCAGAGACTTCGGCTGGTTCACCTATAGTCTCCATTGTAGTTCCTTGTTTTGGTTAACCAAAATCTCTATTACAAGGTCCTAACCATAAAAATGGTTAACCAAAAAAAGGAACTACAATGGAAACTATAGGCAGGGTCATTGGACTTACTTCTGGCTGCGGGCAGTCGGGTGTCCATGGTTCAAGCCCTCAGTGCCCGTGTACTCGTGTACTATATACTTTGGCCCTAAAGTACGCTTTTAGGAACTACTTTAAGCCCGAAGTATATTCGAGATGAGTACATGGACCCTTACGGACATGAGGTGTTTGCTTTCAGGTGGCTTGAGGTTCACATGATGCACCTGCACCTGCCGCAGGCCTTTAGCCTGTCTCCCCAAGAGGGGAATAAGAATGATGCCACAGAGGCGCATAAGTCATAGGAGGCTAAAAGGGGTTTTAGCCTATGGGGGTTTAGTAGGGATTAGGGTTCCCATAATAGGTTCATATTAAGGAATCCCTACCCCAAGAATCTTAAACTCCCCTTTTAGCCTCCCATCAATAAGTGGCAACATGCAGTGCCAGCGGAAACCTGCCTTTAAGTAGAGGAGCTTCGCATACACAAGAGCAACTAAATCGAAACCCTAAACCCTTATCCCCAAAGCCTGAACCCTAAACCCTCACCTTAAAGAAAGAAAAAACCCTAAACGCTAGTTTAGGGTTTGTGATTGCTATGGATAGACCTAGGATCTTCGAGCACAGCAATCTTTTGGTCTCTGACCTCCTGTGTAATTATAACTCGTATTAGGTGACCTATCCTTTGAACCCTTTTTAGGATACCTCTAACTGTATTTCATATACTGTTTTAGGGGTTTCCAGGTTTGGTTTAGCGTTTGAGGTTTAGGGTTCATCTCGAAACAGCAAACCGTCGGCGGATGCAATGGCGAAGTGGCTCCATGATGTTGAGTTCAAGCATTACGCTGGTGGGCTTCACGACGCAAAAAGAGCGCTTCAGTAGAGTTGTCCTACAACGTCGGTTCTGTGTATATATCTATACATATATATATATATATATATGCTTCCCCCCCCCCCCCAAAGATCCGCGCATTTTGGCTTTATTCGGAAGGAACCCCCCCCAATATGAGTCGCAATTTGTTCTTAGTCGGAAGGAACGCCCTCAAATATGATTCGCGCGTTTTGGCCTTATTAGGAAAGAACCCCCTCAAATATGACTCAATTAATCCGAAACAACCCTTCCATTCCACAGCATTGCCGGAGTACCATTCCACAGCATTGCCGGATTACCCTTGGTACCCACATCACTTACAACAGCATGTAGCTGCAGTATTTGTAAACCCTTATGCATGTCTCTTTGCATATGGACACGGGTGATGGACATAAAGCGTAAACTTTCCGAGGGAGGAATATGCGAATACAAACGAACACGACTGCACCTCTGAAATGAAAAGACAACGACAATGTGGACCGGGTGATCGGTGATGGAGACAAACGGTGGCACAATGATCGTGACTTTAGGGTCTGTTTAGCTAGTTTTTTATATAGACAATATCAAACGCTTAGCTAAATGCTACATAGCCATATCACGCATTCTACAAACCGAAACCCAGAAAGTTTCGCACTGATTCAGACATAGAATTAAAAGCACAAATGTCAAATTTCAGGTTCGTCCACGCATCCCGGCACGCTCGCATGCAGGATATTGCTATGCACCTGTTTACCTTTGATATCGGTCGTCATCGTGTCTGAAAACAATTATGCCACTGGTTTCAACAACTGTACTATCCCTCGGTGTATGAGCACAAGAAGATTCCTGGCATTCGTAGTCTCATGTCAAAGACTGGATATGGCATCCATACATCATCATATGCTGTTCCTCTGTCAATATGATACGCAACAGTTTGCATTCGGCCCAGGATAATTTTCTATATAAATGTTGCAACACAGAAGGTTGTGATTGCTAGTTTGTACATGTGTACATCAGATATGGTCCTCAGGTATGAAATCTTACCTTACCCATAGGCAATGCGTCAAGGACAGGGGTTCTCTGGCTAAACAGCCACCAGGCCAATCCATGAAGCTAATGACACGGTGCACCACAGTTACCACTCCTCCATAGCATATAACTGCCGGCCTGACATGCATATTGTCTTGCATATGTCAGCCCATGGATATGACACGAAAATGTAATATCTTCATGGCATGTTGGAGAAAAAACAAGTACGCAAATACTCCGGCATCGACATCGACCACGAAGATCTGGGTTTCTATATAGAGGATCTACAAAGTTTCTATATGGAATCTATAGAACTTTCGATATGGGCCCATATGAGGGATCTACAAGGGGTTTCTACTGGGTTTTTTTGCAATGGATGTACAAGGTGTCTATAAGGAATATAAACGGGTTTGCTATAAGGGCTCCATATGAGGGATCCATAATGAGTTTCTAGAAACTCTCTCTATAGGGATCTATAGTTTTTCTATATCATGGGTTTCTATAAGGTCTCTACATAGAGGATCTATAAGATTTCAAGAAGGAATCTGTAAGGGTTTCTACATGGGCCCAAAATGAGGGATCTATACCGGGCTTCTATGTGGTTTCTAGAGGGGGGAAAACCACATAGAGGGGAATCTACTAGTTTTCATAAGGAGTATATAAAAGTTGTCTATGAAGGCTCCGTGCAAGGAATCTCTCAAAGTTTTCTATAAAGAACTCCATTTGTGGATCTATAAGGGGCTTCTGTAACTCTCTATATAAGGGATCTATAAAGTTTCTATAAGAATCTATAAAGGCTGTCTATGAGGGCTCCATATCAGGGATCTATAGGGAGCTCCCATAAGGTTCTACGATGGGGCTCTGCAATGCAAGGACTTCTATAATGAATCCATAAGGATTCTCGATAAGGGATCTATACGGGATCTCTATAAGGTCTCTATAGGGAATTCATAAGGCTTCTAGAGAGAATCTATAACGGTTATTTGGAACGGCTCCAAAACAGAGCTGTATGAGGGTTTTCCATAAGGTCGTTATAGATGGGATCTATTCTTCAAGGTGTTCATAAGGCCGCTGTTTTGGGAACCCACACGGTTTCGGAACGGAATCTGTAACAGAGTTCTATAAGGGATCTATGAGGGGTTTCTCGAAGGTTTCTATACAGGGGATCTATAAGGTTTCTATAAGGAATCTATGGTTTTTCTATA